TATTTCTTGTTATAAAAATTTGCCGCTTTTTTATATTGTTAAAATGTTGTTTTTTTATATTTTAACACAAAAATCAAGTTTAACAATTTTGTATTTATATATATTTTTTTGTAAATATTTTAGGTGAAATCTGGTTTTTTCGTAGTGTTGTTGTTGCTATTGTGTTAATTATTTATGATGGGGGATTTCTACCAAAAATGAGATTTATATAGTTTTTTTTTTCTTCTGTCTTCTCAAGTTTTTTTATTTCTTTAAAATATTATTGAACACAAACAGGTGCGGAATAAATAATTTATGGATTTTATTTAAATATTTTTATAGGGTCTATTAGATGTTTTTTTTTTTTGTAAATAAGTTTTAAGTATATTTAGAAATATTATCTAAGAGGTATTAAACATTTGTAATTTGGGAAATGTTAACATTTATAGATCTATTTACTTTAGACCTAACTAAAGGCTATTTAAATAGTCTGTCCGTACGTTTATAGGAAATGCTATTAAAACAACAAAAAGTTTGAAGTTATTAAAAGTCAATTTAAATTAAATTTATTTTGAAAAAAAACAAGATTTTCTGTAAAATTTTTATTAGAATATTTTTAGACTTGCCTAGATATATAGTAATGCAATTAGCACCTAAAATCAGTTTTTGATATGGAGAGGTTTGTCATAATACTTATCATGTCAATTATGAAATTTATTAAAACTTTTTAAACTTTTAGCTGTTTTCTTCCAAAAAATCAAGAAATTTTAATTTATTTGTTTTTTATCATTTAATATGAATTAAAAAATTTGACTTGATTTCTTATGAAATATCATATTTTGATAAGAATTTATATTTTTTTAGTTCAACGCATAAAGTCCCATTTATAATGAAAACTTTAAAGTTTTAGTTGCTCTTGCAGATCATTGATAACAACAACTAAATAACTTGATTGCTATAACAAATATTTACATTTCTCAGAAGAAAATTTTAAATAATTTTTATAAAAATTTTCAAAATGAAGTTAAATTCTGTAAAAAATGTTACAGTTCTTTTCGTTATAATGTTAAGAACAAAACTGAATTTATTTGTATAATTTTATAATTTTTTTTTTTCAGTCTGTAATTATGGCATCTAATTTAAATTGTTTTCCCAGTTTTACATCACGAAATACTTGTTTTTCGGCTGCTTTGTTGGATCATTAATAGGATATTCACTTTAAGCGGAAAAAGTCTAAAACTATTCTGAACTAGCATCCCAAATTGGGTAGAGATAATTTATTTACTTAATTTTCCTGTTTAGATCAACAACCATCTGAGAAGCTTCTTATTATTTTTCCATTCCTATTTCTGATCAAAATTCCTAGTCTCATAACTTGTCACATTATTTTTTTTATATCTTGTCAAATTTCTAGTCCTATTGATATTTCTAAATCAAATACTAGTCTCATTCCTAGTCATATACCAGTTACTGTTCATAGTCCTATTCCAAGTTTTATTCCTAGTCCTATTCTTAGTCCTATTATACTTTCCCGGTTCTATTTACAGTCATATTCTTATTCATATTTCTAGTTATATTCCTAGTTCTATTACTAGTCATACTCATACCTACGCCTAGTCCTATTTATATTCCTGGTCCTTTTCCTAGGCTTATTTCTAGTCATACTTCTGGTCCTATTTATAGTCCCATTCTTAGTCATATTTTAAGTCCTATTTCCAGCCCTAGTTTTAGTCCTAGTCCTATTCCTAGTCTTATTCCTAGTGCTATTCATAGTTCCTATTCTTAGGCCTATTCCTTGTCCTATTCTTAGTCCAATTCGTAGTCCTATTCCTAGACTTATTTCTTTCTTTCTTTATTTTTAGTCATATTTATAGTCCTATTCCTAGTGCAATTCGTAATTCTATTCCTAGTCCTATTTCTAGAATTATTTCTTGTCCTATTCGTAGTCCTGTTTTTAGTCATATTCCTCGTCCTATTCCTAGTACTGTTCCTAGTCCTATTCCTAGCCCTATTCCTAGGCCTATATCTAGTCCTATTCCTAGCCCTATTCCTAGTCTTATTCCTAGTCTTATTCCTAGTCCTATTCCTAGTTCTAGCCCTAGCCCTAGTCCTATTCCTAGTCCTATTCTTAGTCCTATTCCTAGCTCTATTCCTAGCCCTATTCCTTGTCCTATTAGTTATCTTATTCATAGTCCTTTTCTTGCTCCATTTCTTAGTCAAATTTTTCAGCTGATATTTTAAATGCTATTGCTTATCATTTCAAGTACCATTTCAAGTACATTCCTGGTCCTAGTCCTATTCAAATTCCATTTTCCAAGTCCAGTTCTCAATGTGCTATTCCTGACCCGATTTCGCTTTTTAAGAATTTTTTTAAAATTAAATAAAATTTCAAAAATTCAAATCCAATTCATTTAATTGTGATTTATTCAATTATTGCACTAACTCGAGAAACATATGCCCCTATTATGGTTTACAACTCAACTCAGTTGAGTTGAAATTGAAACAACTCAACTTTAGAACAACTCAACTTATATTTGGTATTATGAATTACAACCAATTTCAGTTGTAATTGTGTTGATGTTGCCAACCTAAAAAGTGCTTTTTTGTCATAAAATTAAGTGAAAAGTTTATGAATTTCTGTTTTTCGTAAATGACAAATGTATTGAACATCTTTTTATTGTAAATTCGCTTGAAATCAGTAATTAATGAAATTTAAAAAAAATGTTTAAAAAAAAACTTTACTTTGTTTTATTTTAAAAATTTATTCTAAACAATTGAGTTGTAATTTGTTACAACTGCTTTTGATAAGTTGTAATTTTTTTCAAAAAAGTTGTAATAAATTTCAACTTTAAATTTTAAGTTGTTATCGATAATACCAAAGACCAAAATTTCAACTAAAGAAGAGTTGAGTTGTAAACCATAATAGGGGCAATAAAGTCATGAAAAGTTTGCTTGTGAAAAAAATTAATCAAAATTTAAATCTGGAGAATTCGATTCCCTCTAGAGACCCTGGTAAAGCAGCGCAGAACAGATCCAATGGAGTCGTAAATGAAATTTGTTTCGGATTTTGAAAGTTTTTTTTTTTAAATCTGCTCAGAAAAATGTTTAAAACTTCTAGATCTTAAAGATTTTAGAAATCAAAAACTTTGTAGAAAATGTATTCCCAAGTGTGGGTTTCGAACTCGAGTCTAAAGAATATTTAATTTATATATAAATAAAAGAGTAATAATGTTTGTTCGTAATCTATAAACTCAGAAACTACGGCATCTGATAGGATATGTTTCAAATGTTATAAACTTCTAAATCTTTAAGATTTTAGAAATCAAAAACTTTAGAAATATATGTATCCCCAAGTGTGGGTTTCGAACTCGAGCCTAAAGAATATTCAATCTATATATAAATAAAAGAGTAATGTTTGTTCGTAATCGATCAACTTAGAAACTACGGCACCTGCTAGGGCAAAATTGAAAATATAAGTTTCAGGGATCGTGTAATAAAGTAATAAAGTTTTAAATTTTTAATTTTAAACCGGCTGTTTCAAAATTTTTAGGGCTATATAGATCTTTACACGTAGAATCCATGTAATCCATAAACAATCAAAATCCTGCAAGAGGTCTAGGCACCACTAGTTAAAAATAAATCAAAAATTCGTATAACAGGAATTCAGAAAAAAAGGGAAACTTTATCTCAATATAAATTAATTAGTAAAATTTCGATATTTCTCAAAAGAAAATTAACAAAAATTTGTGTGTGTATGTGCCTCCGTTAGTCTCTTATTTAGTGTTTTAGTCTGTCAGAGCGGAGGTCTGAATTGGTTCGATTTCTGCCAGAGATACTAGCAAAAGTAATCCTCCTATCAGAAAATGCTATAAATTTTGCGAGGACCCTAATGTCAGTTCTGTTTTGACATTTGTGTAGTAAACAGAACTGACATTAGGGGCCTCGCAAAATTTATAGAATTTTCTGATAGGAGGATTACTTTAGCGCCACCTGTTATAGGTAAATCCTCCTTTCAAACGAACCCTAACTTCTTTGTGAGATTAAAAATTTCTCTTGAAAGAAGATTTTCTTTCAAAATAAAATAGTTTTGAACTTAGAAAATTCAAATCTGCTGAGAAAATTGTTCGCACCTTCTAACTCTTAACAATTTAAGAAATCAAAAAAATCTTATTAAAATCTATCTATAAAACCAATGCATTTAGTTGCCTCAACAAGTTTTTATATAATTTTGTTTCCTTTAAACGTTTTCTGAAACTTTTTTTTAAAGTTTGATTCATTTTGAAAACTTTAGGAAACTATTCTGCCTAAAAATTTAAATTTTGAAATGAAAAGATTTTTCGAGTTTTTTTTCAAATTTATATAACAAATTTTTTTATTTAATTAATTTTTTATGTTTAGCTTAATTTTAGAGTTTTTTTGTTTTTAAATTTTATTTATAAATATTTAAACAAAGCTTAATTACACAAAAAAATATCACATTTTAAAAATGATCAAATATATATAAAAAAATAATAATAAAACAAAATTTTAATTAAAGTGTTGCAACCCTCATTTAAAAAAGTAACAACAAATACATTTTACAGATTCTTATATAAAAAAAAATAAACTTTTTTGTTCGTTAAATTTTATAAAATTATAATTTTATATAAAATAATAAATTCTTAAAAAAACGAATTGGTGGTATTTTTACAAAAAAAAAAAAAATCTTAGTTTTTTTTTTTTTTTTCCTTTTCGTCATATACATAGAAAGTCAGCATTTCTTTAAGTATTCGATTCGTGTAGTTGTAGTAAGTTAGAGATGCTAAATAATTTCAGTCATATTTCTTACTAGAAACACTAGTCTGTTAAAGAGGCCTTCAACTGGCTGGCCCGGTTAGGACTTGTTACGCAAAACTTTTGTTTTACACAAAATATAACGCTTTTCTCCTTAGAAAATATTTCTTCAGTAGGAGTTGTAAGGGAGGGGGAGGGTGGAGGTGATTTCTTTACAAAACCATATTCTTTTTGCAATGGAAACCTACCGTATGTGATGCTGTTGCTGTTGCGACTGCTGCAGCTGTTGTTGTTGTTGCAGAACTAACAGTCGTTAAGGAGTTGGGCGAGGAGCTGGTGGTAATGGAATTGGAGGTTGTGGTATTATTAACGGCTGATACAATCATTTGTTGTTGTTGCTGCTGCTGGTGTTGTTGCTGTTGTGTGGCGGGTAAAATAGTATTTGGTGTTTGACGATCAACCAAAGGTTGACGTTGTGCCGGACTAGATTGTTGCATGGAACCATTTAAACGTTCTTGTATACCCTCATACATATCATCATCTTCCTCATCGTCACCATCTTCATCATGCTGCTGCTGCTGCTGACCATTATTGTGTACTCTTTCCAAATTGGCGGTGAAATTTAAAGCAGCGGCAGCATCAAAATTACTCATTTCAGGATGTGTTTCCAATTCCGATTGTAAATCGCATATATAATCTATAACATGCTGTATGATTTCCAATTTGGATAGTTTACGATTTTTCGGCATGAATGGTACTAAGTCCTTAAGTTTAGACAAATACATTTTCATTTCAGCATTTTCACCATCACCACGATGTGGTGGATGGCGGCTAATGCGTCCATTAGGATTGATGGCGGGCATGGAGGCACCGGTTTGACAGACGGCCGTTAAAGATTTCATTTTAGAAATAATCGCTTTACGTTCTTTTAGTAGAATTTTGAAGGCTGTTTATTGCAAACGTTATTTTCAAAAAAAATACCAAAAGTATTGCGAGGTTTTCTTTTTTTTTTTTTTAATTTAAAAAAATTTAATTTTTTAATTTATAAATTTTTCTTTAGTAATATAATTTTTTTTATAATCTTTTTTTGCTTGGCACTTTTATTTTTTTCTCATCAAGTTGTTAAATCTTGAAAATATTTTTTTTTAAAAATAAATTTTCTTTTAAAACACTGTTTGGTAATCCACTGTGTTTAAAATTGCGTTGAGAGGTTTTAAACCGTAATCCGTTTATTAAGCGTTTGGGTTTTTGTTTCTTTTTGTATTCAAAATAAATCTTGTTTTTTTTTTTCAAAAATTTTCAAATTTATTTTTTACACGACGTCTATTTTTTCTGCTTTTACTAGCTTCTTTACGCTTTGAGTAACAAACTCGTTATGAGCTCTTACTGCTCAGAGCACAGGCTTTTATACCTGCGTCAATAAACTCCGCCTATCACAGAGCATATTTGAACATTTGTTTTGTTTCTCAGTGATAAGTTTTCTTCTACCTAAAGAGCGTACACAGGGGGAGAGCAATTCATTGGTTTCGCTTTTGATAAGTCCATGTAGTAACGAACACGTGTGTTTGTGTGTCACATCATGGGAAAAAATCAATGCATTTTCGTTTCGTGGGAAATTATATTTTTACAATTTGTATTTGAGCTGTGTTTGTTATTGCTTTTGCCTTCAATTGTAATTAAATGAGGGTCTCTTGTAATGAGAATTTTGCTTTCTTGGAGAGTTTTTAGGTTTTAGAGAAAAAGAGCCAAGCAAGAAAAGAAAGAGTTTAAATATGAGTAGAGAGATTAAGAAAATTGTTTTTATTATGGGGGGAATTTTTGTATGTAATGTTTTATATCGGTAATAGTTTTTAGTATTTTGTAAGAAATGTAATTTACAAAATTTCATTTCGAATAAAATTATCACTATAAATGAGGATATTTTCAGGGGTTTGAAACGCGTTATACTGAAAGGTTTCTCTAGGCTATAACGTATGCTTAGACTTTTGAGCAGATTTTTAAATTCGGAATTCTGATAGTTTATTCAAATAGTATTAAAACACTTATGAAACCTTTTTAATAATAGGTTTTGGAATAGTCATTTAATGACTAGTCTCTTTTTGCATATAAATCTAGACAAGAATGATAAGTTTATAGGCTGGACTATAATCGAAACTAGCTTTAGTTAGAGAGGAGGTTGCATGGTTGGTTGGTTAACGTGATAGTTCAGGGCCCGCGAACCTTTAATTGATAGTTTTTGGAATAGTGATCTACTGACTAGTCTCTTTTTACGTATAAATCTAGACAAGAGTGATAAGTTTATAGACTGGACTATAATCCAGCTTAAGTAAGTTTGAGTGGAGCTTGCATGGTTGGTTAACGTGTTAGTTCACGGCGCGCTAACATTCAAGTAGAGTCGAAGAGACTCCATTTTGAACGAGGGTCACTACACTCGTCAGATGTAGTACTGTATAGTATAAGATCTAGCCTGTAGCAGTGAGAAATCTTAGGATATCATTAAGCTTAGATCCAGATATCTCACCAAGGTTGGATATGAAGTAACTGCCAAGAAAAACGTATAGAGGAGGTTGCTTAATGCATAAAATCTGAAGTAATACACCTAGGCGCCTGTTAAGTGCTCTTTCGCATGAAAAAATGCTTCATGAAAGTCAGTTTTTTGGACGTACACACATAGTGCATACAATTTTCCTATTCGTGAACGAAAGTTTGGTAATTATAAACCATGTATTCCAAAGTTTCCGAACTAGCTCATCAATTTCATATAATTGTGCCTGTGTGTGTCCTCTAAGAATACGCAGCATCATACTAACCTCAGACTTACTAATTTTGAGCAGGAATTTCGTGATCTTTTCCTTTGTGGTTCCATCTTTCATTAATGCTCTAGCATCTGTAAGGGGATTCTCTCCACCGTAATTTTAATCGAGAGTCGAACGGTTTCGCATACGTTATGTTAACTTGGTTGAGCCCTTTTCGTTTATAGCAAGTATGTACTTACAATCGCTCTTTCATTGTCGGATATTGCCGAATGGCTTGGGAACAATATGATATAAAACTTACCTCTGGGAAAAGTATTAGATTAGGGTTCTCTTAAAAACAATTACGATTTTAAATATCGCTGTCGATAAGTATGTTACTAAATAATCCATTTATTGCACCGACTTCTGTCTGAAAGCTACTATTGTGATTAGGTAGACGGTATTATACTTCTCATTCTATGTTCCAAAGTTTCCGAACTCGTTCATCAAATTCGTATAGTTGTGCCCGTGTATGTCCTCTAAGAATACGCAGCATCATACTAACCTCAGACTTACTAATTTTGAGCAGAAATTTCGTGATCTTCTCCTTTGTGGTTCCATCTTTCATTAATGCTTTAGCATCTGTAAGGGGATTCTCTCCACCGTAATTTTAATCCAGAGTCGAACCGTTTCGCATACGTTATGTTAATTTGGTTGAGCCCTTTACCGGATATTGCCGAATGGCTTGGAAACTATATCATACAAAACTAACCTCTGGGAAGAGTATTAGATTAGGGTTCTTTTACAAGAAATTACGGTTTTCAATATCGCTTCAAATACCTCCTGGTTGTCGATAAATATGTTAACTAAGTAATTCAGTTATTACACCGATTTCTGTCTGAAAGCTATTGATGTGATTAGGTAGACGATAGTATACTTATCATTCTAGGTACTTATCATACTAGGTTTTGAATGTAGAACCTCAGGCGGAGTTTCACTGTTATTTGATTTAATGTACCGCTTTTCCATGACTCTAACTGGGATATGTGTTTGTTCCCGGTTGTGATAAGCTCCTGGCAAATGAATAATAGAGCCTAACAATAGCAGTATAATAATTGAGCGAATAATTTTGTTAAAAGAATAGAAAATTTCCAAATTTCAAACAACGAATAAACAGATTAATTTGTTTCAAATCGAAACTAAAGACTGGACTATATTCGGGCCTATAGACTGGACTATATACTGAACTATATTGTAAACCCTAAACCGGTCTATAGACTACAATGTAGTCGAGATTATAAACAGAACTATAATCGAACATAAAGAGTGGCTATAGACTAAACTGAAGATTACATTGTAGTCGCAACCATTGACACCAATGAAGTATAGTGGAGATACTAGACAAGACTAGAGACTGGTCTGTAGTTTAGTCCAATACATACTGTAGTCGCAACTATTGACAGCAATGTAGTATAGTGGAGACACTAGACAAGACTGGACTGTAGTATAGATTATTACCTAGACAATAACATACACTTTAGACTAGTTTAGTTGAAACTATGGAGCATAAATTAAACTCTATACTATAATCAAGATAATCGACTGGATTGTAGTTGAAACCAAAGGCTGGGTTATAATCGAAACTAAATACTGCTAGATAGTTGCGACTATAGAATGGACTGTAGTCGAAACTGAAAGATGAGATTGTAGGTTGGACTCTTAACGTGGCTATTGTTTAAAATTAAGATTGTACTATGATCGAGACTATATATGAAGTATAGATTGGAGTATATTAAGATAATAGACCGAATTTTAGTCAAACTGGTTATAGCCAAAACTATAGACTGGATTATAGTCCAAACTATATAAAGAACTGTGGTCGATGATGATAATTAGGACTCTAGAATGGTCAATATATTGTACTATTCACGAGACTACTGTTGAAATCTCATATTGAAGACTCCAAAAACGAGACTAATGTTGAAATTCGAAAAAACGAAACTATATCAATCTCTTCTCTGTAGTTAGTTATTTCCAATTTTTCAGTTATAAAATAAATTTTATTAACATTATAACATGTCCATTTAATACTGAAAGAAATGCTGCTCGCAATTTCTCGAAATTATACAATTTTTAAGGAAATAACTAGTTTTATTGTTATATTCTACATTATTTTTAGAAGGTACATATTAGTAGTTTGTATATTTTAAGTTTTTTTTTATATTAACCGCTATTTTGCACACAATAAACATATGCTTTTAGTTAAATACTTATTTATTTATACATATTTAATTGTTGTTTTGTATAAAATATTGTTTTAAACAAACCACAATTGTTTATTTTATATTAATTGTTTATTTTATATTTATTATATGCATATATGTAAAAAATAAATAAGAATATTTTTAAGAAATACAGTACATTTATACTTACTAAGCAGTAATACTAAAAATCTTATGGAATTTAGTATAACGATCATAAGTATTGACCCTATTGATAAAACGTTTGACAAGAACAGCTTTTCTAATTAAAATCACAATAAGAAGAAAAATACTTGTTAAAATTGCCCCTAAAAACATAAGGACATTGTGAGAAAAGGAATTTATTTATAGTTTAAGCATTTACTGAAAAGAAATAATCTTATTTGATTCCTGATCTTTCTCCTCAAAGCCATCTTCACACAAAAAGGGGGATCAAAGTTATTTACCAGCATGAAACATGTTTCATCGTTCACACAGGAGACTAGGTGGGGAAAATATCAAAATTTTAAAAATGTCCGAAGCTCCAAATTTTCTCATTTATAAGTAATTTTACAGAAATTTCTTCAAAATTTATAATATCTGGAGCATACGTTCCAGATATTATAAATTGAAGGTACCCATCATATGGGTACCTTCAAATTGTTTAAAGCGGGGAATAAAATAAAAAAATCCTCAGGGGAACACAATAAAATTCATATCATATTTCTCCATTTTGCTTCAATCAAGGGGTTATTTTAGATGAAATATATAGTAATGGATATAGCCTACTCTATAGTAATGACTAAAGTCTAGTCTATAGTCTTGACCATAGCCTAGTCTAGTCTACAGTCTACTCTATAGTCTATAGTCCCGACTATAGTCTAATATACATATAGCCATGACTATAGCCTTGAATATTGTCTTAGCTATAGTCTAGTCTATAGTATGACTATAGTCTACATTATAGTCTTCTCCTTAAGTCTCCTTCAAGTCTAATCCACAGGCTTGACTACATTCTAATCTATAAACTAGTCTGTAGCCTTGAATATTGTCTAGTCTATAGTCTCGAGTATGGCCTTCTCTGTAGTCAATTCTATAGTATTGAATGTATTGTTAACTATTGTCTATTTTATAGTATCCCCTTATAAAACCAATCCTAAGTCTAGTCCATAGCCTTGACTATTGTGTAGTCTATAGTCTCGACTATTGTCTAGTCTATAGTCTACATTATAGTCTAGTCTTTAGTTTATTCTATAGTATTGAATATAGTGTTAACTATAGTCTAGTCAAGTCTATACTATAGACTACAGTCTTAACCATAGTCTAGTATTTATATAGTCTAGTCTACAGTATTTACTATAGTTCAGTCTGCAGTCTTTACTATTGACTTGTCAAGTCTACA